CGTCGTTGTGCCAGCCAGCAATATACCGTCCGCCGACTGGGCTACCAGCGCGATCACGGCCAAGAGCACCGCCCAGGCGAAGAGAAGGCTCAGGCCAACAAGCCTCAACAGGTGCGACGGTGCCATCACAGTCTCGCCGTGTCCGTCGCAGCAAACGCCGCCTGCGGCTGCCAACGACGCGCATGGCACTCTGCTGCTGGTGTCATCGCCCCCGCCCGTGCCTCAAATTGCTTGGGCGTGCGGAAGTTATTATTATCATCACCATGATCATCAGCAACAGCATCAGCATCAGCATCAGCATCAGTATCATCAGTATGATCAGGATCATCAGCATCATCAGCAGCAGCATCATGATCATCAGCAGCATCATCATCAGCATCAGCATCAGCATCCTCATCGTCAGCATCATCATCACCATCATCACAACCACCATCACCATCACCATCATCAGCATCATCACCATTGTCGTCGTCATCATCATCGCCGACATCATCACCATCATCAGCAAAATAAGAATGATAATCATAATCCCGCATCGCCCATCATCATCAACAACGTCAGCATCTCCATAATCATGGGACCGTCATCATCAATTACAACGTCAACTTTATCAGCATCAGTTGCAGCACCATCATCAGTAGCATCAGCACCAACACCAGCATCACCATCATCATCAGAACCAGTATCATCATCATCCTGATCATCATCCTCACCAACCTCATCCCCACTCCCATCCTCATCCTCATCCGCCTCCTGCTCCTCCTCCCACTCCTCCTCCTCCTCCTCCTCCTCCGCCTCTCCATCTTCATCCACATCCACATCCACATCCACATCCTCATCCTCATCATCATCCTCGTTCGTATCATCCTCATCATCATCGTCAGCAGCAGCATCATCGGATTCCTCATCCGAATCACCATAGCATCATCATCCTAATCAGCATCAGCATCATCAGAATCATCATCAGAAGCATCATCATCATCACCGTCGTCATCATCATCATCATCAGCAGCAGCATCGCCATCATCATCCTCATCATCCGCAGAATCATCATAAGCAGCAGCAGCATCAGCATCATCGTCGTCATCGTCATCGTCATCGTCTTAAGTATACTCATCACCACCACCACAACAACGAGCATGGTCATCATCATCAGCATCATCATCAGTCTCAACACCATCATCATCATCATCATCATCATCATCATCATCATCATCATCATCATCATCATCATCATCTTCAGTACCATCATCATCAGCATCGACATCAGCATCAGCATCATCATCAGCATCATTAGCATCATAAGCAGCATCAGCATCAGCATCATCAGCATCAGCATCAGGTTCATCATCACCAGCATCATGAGCACCAGCAGCAGCATCATCATCATGGTCATCATCATCATCATCATCAGCATCATCATCATCATCATCGTCATCATCATCAATATCATCATACTCAACATCATCATCATAATGCGTGTCATCGTCGACGCGGGTAAACCACGACCCCGGAAACGCAAAGCGCGAACCCCGGAACGCGCACACGCCAACCCCGGAAACGACGGCGGCACGAACCCCGGAAACGCGAGCGGCCACCCACGGAAACAGCGAAGCACCATCCCCGGAAACGAAAAAACCCGACCACCGAGAGCCTGAGAGAACGCCTCCTCATTCTCCTCGTCCTCCTCCTCCTCCTTCTCATGCTCGACCCTCTGAAACTCCTCCTCCTCCTCCTCCTCTTCCTCCTCATCGTCCTCCTCCACCTCCTCTGCCTTGCTCCTCATTCCTCTTCCTCCCCTTCCCTCTCCTCCTTCCCCCCAGTGAGACCGTGCGCGAAGATCAAGGCTGCCGAAAGCGCCCCTAAACGGCCAAAGACAGCCCAAGAAGCCCTCAAGACAGACAAATAGGGCCTTCAGAGAGCCATTCGAAACTCCCGACCGGGAAAACACCAAACGACACGTCGAGCCTTCACCCCCAAGACCCCCAGGAAACCCTAGAATCGCCCAAGAAGCCCCGAAGAGACCCAATAGACCCCAAGAGCACTCCCAAGAGAACCCAGAGCCCCAAGAGGGCAACATCGTAAACTTCCATTCGGTGCTTGAATGTTTGTCTTCGTCGCCGTCATCGTCATTCCCCTTCAGGGCCCCTTGCCCTGCTCTTGCCCCCCCCTTTCCCCCCCTCACACTCTGAAAGCGTCCGACGTCAATCGATTGGCGGGATCGGGGTCCCATGACAGAAATCTCCTGGCAACTTACACTGACCATTGCGCTTTCCCAACGGCGCCCCACGCGATGAGAGCAACTCCTATAGGGACCTGCGAGGAGTGTTTCTTGAGCGTGGACGCCCGTGGACCTCGAGTGCGTCAGCATCATCATCATCACCACCACCACCACCACCATCATCATCATCATCATCATCATCATCATCATCATCGTCATCATCATCATCATCATCATCATCACCACCATCATGATTATCGTCGTCATCATCATCCTCAT